AAAACCAAAAGGACAAGTTGGCAATCCACTCTCCCAGTCCTCCTACACAACTTTTGATGACTTCCATGAACGGTGTCACGGCGAATGATGGCCATTGTCTGTTGCGACTTGAACCCTCGATGCAAGTACTACTGACCAGACAGGCTCGGTGTCGCATGGCCGGCCAACAAGGGATCGTCTTTACCCGTATCTCGAGCGCCGGAGCTCGTCTACCGCTACTATAATTATCATTATAACATTTTTCTTCATTACAAGCGCATCTGTTCTATCCATTATGGCTGAGGAATCGTGGATTGGGACCTGTGTCCATTGCACAGAGCTCCTAGCCAGTGTGCCTCTTCCCGTTCTCCTAGCTGCCATATCCGCGACCCTTCTGGGATCATTCGTTCTTGTATGCTCTCCTCTCAGCTTTCTTTCTACCTATTCCGACCTCTGGTGTTGAGAATTACTGACACATTTCTGTTCAAGTTCTACGTTGTCCTTTACCTAGTCGCACCCGAACCGCGAAAGCCATTACCAGAGGAGAAGCAATACCGCACCCTTTCCGAGGATGGAGCAGTCACCCAACCCGAGCAACTACCCTGCTGGCAAGACGCCCTGGACCGGCAGAAACGTCCCGGTCGGGTCTTTGACCACTCACATATGGAGGAGGCAGAGCTCTTCATGTCCCTGGTGGTCCCCGCGTATAACGAGGAGGACCGTCTGGCCGGCATGCTAGAGGAGGCAGTCAACTACCTGGAGAGAATGTATGGGACATTAGGGGCGTCATCCGCCTCCGACGGGAAGGCCGGAGATGCAGTACGACAGAGGAAACCGGCCAACGGCCATGCGAATGGCCATGCCACGACGACGGCAACACCGCACGGCAAGGTTCCACCTGGGAAGGGCTGGGAAATTATCATTGTCTCCGACGGGTCCAAGGACAAGACGGAGGAGGTCGCGTTTGCTTTTGCCCGCGACCACCAGCTTTCATTGCATCCTAAGGGGTATGCTGGTCCTTGGACACCGACGCCCCATGAGGGGGTCCATATTCCGCCAGGCACGATCAGGGTGGTGACTCTAGCCGAGAACCGGGGGAAGGGTGGTGCGGTCACACATGGCATGCGGCATGTCCGCGGTCAGTACGTGGTGTTCGCCGATGCCGACGGCGCGAGCAAGTTTGAGGATCTGGGGAAGCTGGTCACTGCTTGTCGGGACATCGAGGACTCGGATGGGCGTGGAGTAGCAGTGGGTTCGCGAGCGCACATGGTTGGTAGTGAGGCTGTTGTCAAGGTATGATTCGTAGTTCCCGTCAGTGTGATTAGATGGCCGTGAACCGGGCAAGGCTGACGTCGGACTACTGATGACAGCGTTCAAAACTACGCAATTTCCTGATGCATTCGTTCCATTTGATACTGTGGCTTATGACGCCTCCCAAAACAGCGACCATCAAAGACACCCAGTGTGGGTTCAAGTTATTCTCGAGGGCCTCGCTGCCTTATATCATCCCCTATATGCACTCGGAAGGATGGATTTTCGACGTCGAGATGCTCATGCTTGCTGAATTCTCTGATATCCCGGTCGCAGAGGTGCCCGTGGGCTGGAGAGAAGTCAAGGGGAGCAAGCTGAATGTCATTCGCGATAGCATCGGTATGGCTTGGGGTCTAGCTGTCCTCCGGGCTGCATGGACGTTGGGGGTCTACAGACGGACGTGATATGGGCTAAGAGTTTCTATATATCGTAATCTGAGTCTATACAATGATTGCTGCATCTTATCATTTGATGCACACCCTAAACATCTGCCTGCTCTGTCAAAGAATATATTCCACGGCATGGAAAAACAAGCCCAAAACAAAGACGCCATGCTTATTCTAGACCATTCGAAAATAGCTGCGACTGATCCCGAGCATCCCGTCTCCATTCGTATCTCGCCACCCAATTTTGGGAAGCCGAGCAATGGAAAATCCCGATGGACCAAATAGTAGACACCCCTATCAAATTGAGTTTTCTCTTTTTCTCCCAGACCGACGGGTAGATAGGTCCCATATTATTTCCATGATTCCACCCGATTGATCGAAATGGCAGAGAGGGTCAAAGTTTTCGGCAGGATTTTCCCTTGCCTGACGTCGGTCGGTCCGACTTAAGCTGTAGAATGTAAGGCAGATCCTCGATAGCCAGCCTGTGATGGAGAAACGATGAGGGCGGATGTTGGACTGATTGGATGCTGGACAGTGGTATGATGCTTTTTTTTCTTTTCTCTCTCTCTCTTTTCTGTACTTTTTTTGCCCTCCTGATTCACTTTCATCATGGCTTAAAGACTGACTCGATTGTCAGTCCATCGGTGCATTATCGGCTTGGCATGCTCTGATTCTTACATTCTAAGAGATTGGGATCTGTGCAGATTTTTGCCTGGGTTGTTCTTTCTTCTGTATATTTATCTTTGAGCCTTGCAGAGAGGCACCGGGCGAGGCGTTGAATTCTGATATCACCTTGATTTATCTACTTTGTGAATTGTCCGATGCCACTGGGAGCGTTTTTCACAAAGGGGTATTATTTCCAGATATAAAGAGCGGGTCCCTGTACTTCTTACCTTTGTCATTCGCTCTTTTCTACAACATCAAGCTAGACTTTCGATCGACTTGGATATGTTGGAGGTCATCGCGCCCATATCGAAACCCGCGCAGATCGGGGCACGGAGTCCTCGAAATACAACTCCCAAGCAGTCGAGTTTCCTTCGACTACCCCCAGAGCTCCGTCTGAAGATCTACGAATATGCCCTGGCGGTCCCTAATGAATACACAGACCGTCCGCTGATCGTCGTCAATGATCGCGGCAACACCTTCACCTCACGCGGACAGTTCCGCGCCCTCTCCATGTGTCCCAGCTGGGTAGGGCAGGACGGCACAGCCCGCAACCTGCTATCAGTCAACCGCCAGATCCACGACGAAGCAGAGGATTTCCTCTATTCGCGCAACACCCTGTTCTTCCTGAACTCGTTTGATCTGAGCCGTCTCGGCGCGTTCCTGGATACCCTCAGCGCGACGGCGCGCAGCCGCATCCGCAGCGTCGGCTTCGAGATCTGCTTCTTTGTGCATTCGCAGACGGGGGTGCCGAAGCGCACGCTGAAGGAGTACGAGCGCGCTGGCCGGCTGCTCATGGAGAAGCTGCCGCAGTGGTCCAGTGTCTTCTTTTATCTGGATCCGAGGTTCTACTATCCGTCTGCTTGTGTGGGTGGGCGCGAGCTTTCGGCTCGTGGGGTTCTCTATCTGGCGACGGTGTTTGGGGCTTTGAGGAAGGATCTGCATTTTTTTCCGTTGCCGTCGATTCATCGGCATGTTATGGATGAGGCGCAGAGGTTGTTGAGGAGGGGGAGTCGGTCGTCGCAGGGTCGGCCTTCTCTTTGACGGACGTTGAGAATCTTCTCTTATTTACCTCTTGCACTCTCTTTTTCAGGTCTTGCGGCATATGTCATCGTTCGTTTCGTTAAGACAATGAATGACTGGGGCCTGCTGCAGGATGACGTCCCGATTTTATGCGCTGCGAAAGCCGACATTTAGTCTTGTCCGATCCTGGGCTGGCGTGCGTCAATCACTTGGAGCTACGGGGATCATTCTGGCGCAGGAGGCTCGGATAGGAAATGCATGGCGCTGGTTTGCTTTCCGTGGAATGTTTTATGTTTCTCATCTGGATGGATTGCTTTCATATTGCAGGGTTTGGCACGGAGTTGTTTTGACTGGGCATACTCACCTCTTATAGATTATAGACCGATTGGATAGATATCCGCTCCCTGTACTTATATCAATGCTAAACTAATATCAACGGAAGCAAGATTATGATGATTTTAAGATGACAAAAATGCTGGAGCTCGTGGCATGATCGGCCTTCCCAGCCCCAAGTCCAAGTACTACCATTCTGACTCTGACTACGGGAGAGTTCGGGTGATCATTCCAGAATGATAATCAATCAGAATGTTTACACAGACACAAGAACTCACAAGGACACTTGATGAGGAGGATCGATCGTCTGTTGGACGGGTTTTGTATGCCATAACGTCATCGCCTCCCTCGTGATCGCCCTCTCTCTCTCTTTCTCCACACTATGCTTCCCATACACCTCTCTTTTGTAGATACTCCAAGATCTGATCCATCCATTGGAGATATATCTATCGCTTTCTTCCTCTTTCTTGATCATTCCTTGACTAAATCATCTCAGTGCTAGCACCGAATTCGACAGCCTCGGTCCGTCGAGAGCGAACTGAGGCTACACTCCCAAAAAAAGGACGGGAGCATGGAAGACTGAGGTGCTAGTCTGGTACGTCTCTCACGATTCCCCGCATAATGTGGGACATCCATCGTCGTACCCGCTCCCTGAAAACTGACATAATGCCTCAGTTTGCGATCGTTTATCAACAGCTCATCTGCCGGTAACATGATGCGTTGAACTATCGCTGCAGTGAAAGATTTCCCTCGTCCACTTGTCCCCAAACGTTTGGCTGGCTCCGAACGACCCATCATTCGACCTCCACACTGCCTGGACGGGGCAGTTTACCACTCTATCGCTGCTCTTTCTATTGGGCCACGCTGTGCCCGAGGACTTCTTACATATATGTCCTCGCTTTCAGGCACCGCTTCATACACATAATTGTCGGTCGAAACTTAACTACTCAACGTCGCACAGGACGACTCTGTCGCCTAGCGACCGCCTCGTCCCCTCTTCTCTGTACTTCGTAGGTGGTTTCCTGCATCTTTTTTTCCCCCTTGGCTCTCATGCGGTGGAGATCTGCCCTGGCGATACCGTTTCCATCTCCCAGAGAACGCCAGATTGATGGTCCTCACGCATCAGTGGCAACTCGCTGATTATCGCCAAATTTTCGTGGAGATTCAAGTGCACAGTCTCCCGTGTATTAGCTTTATTGTCAAAGTTCCCTTGCTTCATTCTCTCTTTGTCCACCTCCTCATCCCTTTAGACAGGGGAGACGACCCTGCAATTGTTTCGGCTGAAACGGTCTGACTACCGCCACCATGAAATCAGCAACTGCAAAGGTTCCCAACGGGCATGGGAGCATTTACAAGGAGGTTCGCTTTTCGCCAACGGCAACCCCCATCCGCCGTGCACAGTCGGTCTCGACCAGCAACCCCGCCTCCAAGTTCGATCACGGGCGGGTGCTTGGCAAAGAAGAAAGCAACCGATTCTCTTACTCGGCTTTGAGTGCCGATCACCTGGAGCAGGCCCGATCGCTTGTCGACCGCCAAAGGGCGAGCTTCGAGAATGAACGGGCACTTTTCGCGCAGGAGCGGCAATTGTGGGAGAGGGAGCGGGCGCTATTGAGACTAAGAATATCAGAACTAGAAGCGTTGTTGAAGAGCAAAGGAACCCCGAACGCTGGCCCTCCTGCTCCTGGCACCCTTGTCAATTTCTCTTTGAATCCCTTCGGTGGTCCGGTGTCCCCTAATTTATCAAATGAGCGCCACCACAACCACAATTATATGAGTGCTCAGGTGTGGGAGGGGCCCAGCCCTATGAGTCGGCCCACAAGGGTTTTTCACGATGTGGAAAAGACTGATGGCCAGAACCACCTCGCGTCGATCATGGAGCAAGGGGCCCATCTGCCAGTCACTGCGCCGTCCTTAGATGCGGCGTTATCCCCCCAGTCTCGTGCAGCCGAACTCTCTGCGTGTGCGAGTATCCCCGTCCCAATCGAGAAGCTTGACAGCAAGCTAGATGGCATTACGCTCAAGTCCACAGCGTTACCGCCGGAAGTCGTGGCCCGCGTGATGACGCCGCCATCGCCTTCGCCAGTGGAAGTATCTCCAGAGCCGTCCGATCATCCGAAAACCTCTTCGGAACGTAAGAACAGCCTGAAGCTGAAACTGTCCGAGCTTGGGCCACCCGACGTGAATCTAATTAGGGATGCTGGGCACACCCCTATGGCGCTCATTGATGCCGATGCGGACACAGAGCAGGCCTCGCTTAACGGTGACGTGATCACCCAAGTCCAGGGCAAGGAAGAAGAGCCCTTGGCCCCTAGGGCAACGATGGTCGGACAGCCTGCAGAAAATAACAACTCCTACTTTCCGGACGTACCTGACGATCCGGCCCTCAAGGGGCCGTTATCCCTGCTGAATGAAGAGGAGCATGACAGCGAGTTCCTACAGGAGCTGGATCTAAAGCTTCTCGACCAGGCCAGACGAGCCATTGGTCACTCCTCTGATCCCGACCCGGAGGACCAGGAGGTGGCAGATGCAGACATTACTAGCCAGGATGAGTCGGTACCTGAATTGAAATTCAAAAACACGACCAATTTCGGCACTGCGTTTGGGATCTCGGACTTTGGAAAAGTTTGAGGCGTGCACAGCACCACTTGCTTCTTTTCTCTCCACTCGTTCAATCTGACCCCTTTTTCCTTTACGATGATACACCTGTTATTCGGCGCACATTATCAGCAATTTTTGAGGATGTCATATGCAATTTGATATATACGAGTCATTTAGGTGGCCCATATTTCTCTTTCCGGTTTGGCCTACTAGACCGATGATATTTGAGACGGTGTCTTATTTTCATCTCTTCAAGTTTGAGTCAACAATCTGAATTTGCGATGTGTAACGAACTTTATCAGGCAGCACTGCTTAAAGAAGTTTCGGGCACTGGCGCTTAGCTCATCGTGGGCGTGCTGAGATCAATAGCTCCACCTCCCTTGCATGGCATCAACCTTGAATGGGCCTATCAAGCCATGTTTCCTTCTTGTCTCATCCCTTTGCCCTTCGATGTATCTTCGTTGCATCTACATGTGCAGTGTGAATCCGGAAGTAACGCCGCATACGCCCTCCACCCTATGCTCCTACTCATTATCGGACTAAGAATAGTCTTCAACTTAAAGCCTTACAGGTCGAGTGCTCGGATCTCGGTGGCTGGCTTCGAAGGATGAGGAATTGCCTCATGAAGGCATTGAACCCATTTGTACACAAGATGAAGGCGTATATAAAAGGCCTCATGTCCCATGCCATGATATGTCCTCTCTATAATCCATTTTTTGACTTTTTCGCTCGTTGAGAGCAGCCATTCGTTTTTCTATTTCAACGACCTTCTTTTTTCTTTTTCGGGTCTTCCTATCTATCATTACGTTCTTTCCATTGACATGACAAAGATGCATAACCTCAAAAAGCTCTCGGCGCTGCTGTGCCTCCTGCTCGCGGTTGGCCCTACGGCTGTTCTCTCGGCTCCCATCGCTAAGGTAAGACATGACACACATCGTCACTCGTTTCCGGCTTCCTACACATACTTAGAAAATATAGGTCGATAGTCTGGCCAAAAGACAGGCAACTCACAGCAACACCGATGCTGCCTCCTTCATGAGCGCCGGCATCCCCGACGGACCCAACTTCAACAAGGGCGATTTTTTCTCCACAAGCAGCGACGAGGACTGCGACGAGGATGAGCATGATAATGACTCGCCCTCCAACCCGCGCCCGAAGTCTGACTCGCACTCGAGCTCCAGTAGCAACACCGAGGCCGCATCCGTCATGAGCGCTGGCATCCCCGACGGACCCAGCATCAACAAAGGGGATTTCTTCTCCTCGAGCAACAAGGAGGACCGCACTGAGGGCGACGATGAGAATGGCTCGCACTCGGGCTTCAGCACCAACACCGACGCAGGCGACTTCGCCACGTTCGGTATCCCGGACGGCCCCAGCGCTACTTTTGGGAATTTCTTTCACCATGATTATGAGGAGACTCATGACGAGAAGCCTGCTCCGCCTAAGCCTCCTGTCTCGACGCCTGTCTCGACGCCTCCGGCTCACCCTCCTGTTCCTACCCCTCCTGCTTCTGCTCCCCCAGTGCAGACTCCTTCTCCGGCCCCTCCTGCGCAGACTCCTGAAGCTCCTGCACCCGCTCCCCCCGCCCAGACTCCCCCCCCTCCTCCCCCTGCCCCCCCCCCTCCTCCCCCGCCCCTCACACCCACCCCCGACCCCACCAGACCAACGCGCCTCTCCTATGCCGCCCTCTCCCCTCCCAAACACAACCCC